GTGCACTGATAAAGAGTTGGGCAGAGCAGTGTCACCTGGATGGCTGTTGTGTGCAGAACAACAGCTGACTGAGAATGAATGTGGACAGCTGAGAGACCACAGGGCAGCCCCGGCCGATGGTTCTCATCTGATGACCTTGTGCTGTCTGCTGTGGAAAGCTGATCTGACAGCGTGAGGCCCGGGGCCACAGACACAAGCGGGAGCACAGCCAGCCACCGAGATGCAGACCGACTAACTAACAGACTTGGTGTCAGGAGGACTGTGAGGACTGAAAGGCATCAAGCCATTAACAACAGTACTTTGCACCTCAATTAAGCAGTTAGTGCTCTCTTTTTTTGTCGAATGATTTGGTAGTGCAAAGACAGTATGGTGAGTAGTAACAAATGTGACACATTAGGTGGGTTAAGAGTGTAGTTCCTGCAGTCAGTGCTGCAGTCAGTCAATGCTAACATGTCCCAGAGCAAGATCTTGAACTCCTGAGGCTGTGAGCCTGGAGCCATTCGCAGCTGACATTGGCACACCCTCAACGGGCTACTGCAGGGCTGACACAAGGTTTAATCTTTTACCAGGAAGTTTTGTTGAGCTGACTAAGCTGCGAGGTCTTAGGACAAGGTCATGTCTTCTGTAATATTTCTAAGAATTTCAGGGGTTACGTACACATGATTTAATAGCCCGAAGGGAGCAGTGAAAGCTGAATAAATAACAGCAAAAGGGTTGTATTATTTAATTATGCAGCAGTATTGTATACTGTACAATATCAGGACTACAGCATAGTCCTTAAGGAATACTCTGAGAAATACACTTATTCACTTAGTTGATGAGAGTGCTGCATTATTAAGTTCAACATTAATGGCCACTTTGCTCCTGAGCCATCTGAGCTCCAGCAGTGGGTTCACTTTTCTGATATAAATGTAACCAATCAACCACTGACTTCATAATTTCATTCTACACACACATTCTCTGTCTATGAACTGTCGTATATATTACTACAATTAAAACTCACTGCTCAGTGGTTGATATGCCAGTTTTTGCAGCTTGTTTTGGTGCTATTCTGGGGTTGTGTGCAATTTGCTTAAATGCTGGTCAGTGAGCATTAATGTCATGTTAGCCACTTATGGTTCACTGATCAGGTAAGAGATGCTGGCAGAGGAATAAATCACAGAGTAAGATGAATTACGCATTGAATTTTATGTAAAATACTTATTTTAATTAATCAGTTAATAAATTCAACTCAATGTATCATCATAATGATGGACACACTTTCATGTTGTACTTCTCCAATTCACATAACACACAGTTGCTGTTGTAATTACTGCTCTCCACTGTGTTTTTAAACTTTAGTTACAAAAGGTTCATCAGCAATAAGAGGTAAGATTGGTCCTCATTTGGCAGAGCAATAAATTGCAGAGTTATATTTGGGTACAATGATAATAAAGTGTTCCATTCTGTTCTATTTTATTCTATTGTTAACTTATTTTAAACCTGTAATAAACTTAAAGTGAGCCGCTGAAAAGTGCAAACATTTTTAAAAATTGAAACAAGCAAATATTTGGTGACATTAACTAGAAATGTCATTGTCAACAGTCCAGTTTCACAGTATTACTGCCTTTACATTAAAATGCATTTAGGGTGGAGAATATTGTCAGCAGTAGCTATGCACATCAATTGGGGCAGAACAGAAAAGTCTGTTTAATGTGAATTGTCACATTTGGCCTACAAGTACAATAAATACTACCAGAACCACAAAGAATCAATAAATTCCTATTAAAATGAACTGTAGTGTTTCAAATGTAACATATTTTGAAGGTTTTGGTGTCTGCTTTCAGAAATCAAGGTGTTTAAAGCCACATTTGGTGTGAACATTAATATAAAAGCAGTTACATAACAAAGCACTAATGAACCTTTTTGTTTTTTACATCCCTATACTTCATTACGTGATTCTCTGTGCACAGAAGCTCAATTTATTTCTCTTTCTCCCTTTCTTCTCCCACACTCCATATACTTAAAGACTTTTGAAGGTAGTTACAGTGAGCAGGATGTGCGAACAGTGTTTAGCAGTGTGGGTTAACAGTGGATGGCCAGTCAAAGAGCACTTAACAGCTCCCTGGTGGTCTTTAGTCATGCAAAGAAATAAGAAAAAAGTCAAATCACTGAACTCCTACTTCAACTGTCTGTTGGCTCCATCAGCCTGTCAGAGCCGCTGCGCCACACAAACGGCCGCATTAGCTCTTCACATTAGGAGCTCATGAATAGATTTACATTTCTGAGATCATTAACTCCACTGCCTTTCACACCACAGTGTCTTTATTAAGCTGCTGCAGGTGCCATCGCCATTTGTTTTAACACATCATCTTCATCCTCTTCATTATCACAATATTGCCATCGTCATCATCACATCCACCATCATCCCTTTCTCACTGCATTATCATCCTCATCACATCATCATCATCATCATCATCTTTAGTGAATCTGCATCCTCATCACATCATCGTTGCTATTGTAAAGGATATCACTGGTCATTGCCATTACTCTCATTATCAGCACCTTCATCTTTGTCATATTGTAACTGGCATCCTCTCCATCAGTGTCACAGTCATGATCATCATCAATGCTATTAGCTTTGTCATAGTCATTGTCATCACCCTTATCATCATCCTCATTCTCTTCATCATCACAGTCTCCATTATTATCACCTCCATGCTCAACATCATAATCATTCTTGTCAGCATTATCCTTGTCCCTCTGCAATCATTATGATAATTATCCAGTAGCCATAATATGAGAAAAAATTACAAGGACTCTATATATAAGGTACTCTGTACTTATGAGCCTTCCCAAAACCTTAATTTAGCCTAATTAATACAACATAAAAAAAGACATTAAGAATTAAAAACTAACCGAAGAAATGAAACAAGACACTTATTTCTACAATCAGTACAGCTCCTGAATCCTTTTCTAGCAGGTTGTCTGGGCAGATCACCTTTCCCCCGAACTACAATTGGGCCTCCGATAACAGATCTTTTAATATTACTCTGTTCTTCAATATCAGAGGATTGTATGGATGCTAGGCAAGGATATTGAGTAAGAGCTAAGAGCTTCTCCCTTTCAGCTTGGACCAGCATCAAAACTTATTGGATAGATAAATGAGAGCTGGACTTACATCAGAGCAGGCCTCTTTCTGTGCCTGTGTGTCATTTACTTGTCCGCTGAATACTGGCTCAATCAGATAGTGCCCAGCCTTTCACAGCAACCATCATCTCTCTGCATCTGTTGACCTGCGCTGGCACGGCCTGGACTAATATGGGGTGCTTTGGTAGAACTGAAACAACCCTTTCCCTTTCACTCTCAAACTGCTTTTGTTCAAATTGTTCTTTTTTTTTAAACCTCAGAGCTAAAGGTCAGACCCTGTATATGTGGCTCTGCTGTTATTTTGGTGTTTTGCACCCTGATTTATCAAAATAAAGAAGCCTTATAAAGCATTCTTTTTCATCCTACTTTATCAGCTTGTATGGTGTGAATGGTAAATGGTCTTATACTTGTATAGTACTTCTCTATGCAGTGCAGCACACTTTAAATGCTTTCACACTATTTGGCCATTCACCCATTTGCACTCCCAAGCATACACACACTTATGCATCACTGCACTGTGCCATCACTGGGAACAACTGGGGGTTCAGTGTCTTGCTCAAGGACACTTCGATATATAGACTGTACAAGCTGGGAATTGAACCGCTAATCTTTCAGTTAAGAGACGACACGCTCTACCTTCTAAGCCACTGGTGCCCCCCCATCCACCCCTTTTTTTTTGATGGATGATGTGCAATAATAATTAGCTTGTCTGAAGGACTTGAAGAATAGGTATCTCTTCCCCCCAATTGAACCTTCTGTAAGCTTATGCATGCTTGTGTGTATATTGGTGAGACCCAATTCAAATCAGTTCAGTTCAATTCAATTCAATTCAGTTAAGTTTTATTTGTATAGCACCAAATCACAACAAATGTCATCTCAAGACACTTTACAAAGTAAGGTCTAGATTAGATTCAGCTTCATTGTCATTACCCATGTACAAGTACAAGGCAATGAAATGCAGCTTAGTATCTAAACTGCATTTCTTACTATTATTATTATTATTATTGTTGTTGTTGTTGTTGTTGTTGAGAAAAACCCAACAGATCCCCCCTGAACAAGCACTTGGCAAAAGTAGGGAGGAAAACTCCCTTTAAGGGAAGAAACCTCTGACAGACCCAGTCTCTTGGGGGGTGGCCTTCTGCCTTGATCGGTTGGGGTGAGTGGGTGAGCCACCTGGCTGAGCTCCCAGCTGCTCGGAAAGTATCAGCAGGTGGCTAGCTTGGACTGAACTATGTCAGGGAGGGCTCACACCAAGCTACATGGCCTGTCTAGCTGGGCTGTTTTCCATGGTGTGGAGCCACACTTCGAATTCGGTGATCCTCGCCTCCAGTGCTGCTAGCATTAACAGTTACTGCTACAAGAGGAAGAGGAAAAGCTAAACATGTGACACTGAGCAAGAGAAAGAAGGAGATGAAGAGGGAGAAGCCATTGCTCTCAGCTAAGCTACAAGCTTAGCTAGCTTCTAGGCTACCTTACCTAAAGTAGCAGGTTAAATGTGGAAATCAGCAAGATATTCTGTAACACAGGTGCTTGACTAGCACAGGCGTTTGTTATGACTCAAAAAGTTAGTTAATGTTCAGATAAACCTAGAAATCACTGAGCTTAACCCATAAACAGTCTGGTAGCAAGCATATCATGGTGCAGGCACAGTAAACAGGAAGTGAATATACTTACCATAGGCACAGCACACCCACACTCAACTCAAAATTAAGTCTTTAAAAAAAGATTTCCTTGAGCAGTATCCTGGTGATAGGGAATGCTCTCCAATCACATCTCTGGATTGTGTATTAGGGAAGTGCACTGTTTCCTGCTGTTGTCACTGGCTTCCTTCCATTGGTGTGTGCTCAGGACTCTACATTTGGTCCTGGAAAGCGACACAGTTGTTAACCAGGACTCTGGTTGTGTTCAGTTTTGTGCATTCTTTTTTTTTTCATGATTTTGCCTACAAGAACGCCATCAAATCTGAATGACGTACAGTAAGTTTAACATCTTTATAACTTATTCAGACAGCTGTTCTATTAGCTGGAGGTATAAGACAGTCAAGCTTTCTTTATGAATGGCATTTGTTATTTTATTTACCTATATTTTATATATTTTACTATTCTAAGGTTTAATTTTTGTTAACACGTTAACCTGCTTAGTTCAGTTCACTTAAATAAAACACAGAGATAAATGAGGCATCTTTAAAGATGTGTAAAAACGACAGTTAAATTGACAAGAGACTGTGAGGCAATTAAAACATGTATGCTTATAAAGTTATAATAATTTAAAAGTACCCCGTAGAGTTTTTGACCACTAATAGTCTTATGGAACAAGTGGGTGCTAGTTTTATTTGTGTACTCACACTTGTACCAATACAATACTAAATCCTGCCAGTGGTTTTATGGCATTCCACAGATTGGCAGTTTCCACAGTATAACTGTAGTTTCACTCTCACTCCTCTCATAGCACCACTGAGGGCTACAGCAGGCAGCTGTTTTCAGCTCTAAAAACTCACTGTATACTATCTGCTTACAACTGAACAACAGACAGACACAGTTAGAAACCAAACATAGTGGAATATTTAACAGCTGAAGAGGCAGAGAAATCCTTCAGCTGTTGGTAGAGGCTAAAAAAGAGCTAAAGGTGGACAAAAACATGACTCCAAATTAATAATAATGTTCATCCATAATGGCAGAATGTGTAAATAAGCAAATGTTTTTAACAAGTTCATTATATCAGGTGTTTCCACCAAAAATCAGTTATTAGAGGTTTATATGTTTTTATTGAGAAAGAAATGCATTCAACATGTATCCATGAGCTCTAATAGGTTAAATTATTATATTAGTGAAAAACATTGTATGTATATTCAACATTTTTATTTACAAAAAAGTACTCCACAGTGTACTTTTAAGTATTAGAACAGGATTTTAAAATTGTTAATATTAAAAATATCAGATTTTATGACAATAAAAAAATAATTGAACAGCAGTGTTTCATTGCCCCCAACTTAGTTTTCTGAACACACTCGTCAGTGATGCTTTGAATGAGCTTTGTTGTACCTGTAGCCACAGTGATGTCACAGTGTGCTGCTTCATTTGGAAACATGCAGTGACTGAGAAATGTTTATGTTACAGAGTATCAGACACTGAAAAAGTCACCTCCTCAGAGACAACTCCTCACACTTCTTAGAGTCAACATGAGGAACTAATTTACAGCGAGTAGCACTCCACCTCTCCTTCCCACTGGGTCAAACTGGGCAGCAATGCAGTTTGGTGATCAGGTCACCAGCACCAGCTATCCCCTGATCTTTCCAAGCCTAGACATCCAATTGTGCTGGACACCATTCAGCCCATCCTGGTCCGGGCCATCATCAACCCTAAGTGGGGCATGGAGGGGCCCCTCCAGCCACAGACACCACAGCCACCCAAGATCTGCAGTTCACCTGGACCTGCTGGGAAATCATGCTGGAACTTGGACGTGAAGGTAGTCGTGGTTCTGGTGACTCTGGCTGGAGCTGTGATCCTGCTGCTGCTATGCAGACTGTTACAGCTGAGACACCGGTGTGTACTTGACACAGAATAATACATGGTGTCCAAATATCATAATGCACATCCCCAAGATAACATCTCACTAAAATCTCTTATGCTGTTTTTTACTTTTGTTTGCTTGTTTTGCTCAAAACTTTTCTTATATATTATTAAAGAGGCATTTCTCTTTTCACTGTTGCACTTTGTAGACGGTCCCTGCACACTCGTCTGACTGCACACCGAGACCAATGCTATTTGTCTAGAGCAGAGGGCCGCTCGTTTTGATAAAAATAAGGATGTAGATTGTTGTCTATATGATTACAAAACAAAAGAAGTGTCATTTGTATTTTTATAATGTTTTGCTATTGATCCAGAAACTTCTGTGAATATCTTTCCAACTTTACCGGAGTCAGCCACTATAACATACCTTTGTCAGCACACTGATTGACAGCTATCGCCTCCTTCGTGTCTAGGAGCAAATATGACATTTGCATGTAACATGAACTTTAGATCGCCCCCTCCCTTTCAGTAGGTCAGGCACATTGGAATGATCTAATATGACTTCACCCCAAAAATTAACATACACAGGTTTGCTCAAATATTGGTAGCACTTTTCTGTCCTCCCAAAATATTTGTAGGGACGTGTCTCTATTGTCCATATGCTAAACTACACCCTTGCAGAGTGTAGCAGATCGGAACCGATTTGGACTTTCATGTTAGTGCTACTTTAAGTTACATACTGTAGCTTTAATGCCAACACATTAGATTTCTATGGATGTTCTCATCTTACCTGAAATATCGAACCATTTGTTTGATCTCAGTGACACTTTTACCTAACTAAAGGAGAATAATGATGTGGATATGCTGTGTCCCTCAGGCTGAGGCTGGCCAGAGCAATGCATCCTCTGGAGTATCACAGCTTCTACCACACTGCCACCTACACACTTAAACACCCTGCACCATGTCAGGACCTGCCAGCCAAGAATGGGACTGTACCTGAAGCTACTCCACCACTGACTACAGTGACACCCATTGCCATCACTCCACTGCCACCCCCACTGGTGCTTTCTCCACCTCCACTGCCACCCCCACTGGTGCTTTCTCCACCTCCACTGCCACTCCCCCCATCTCTTGTCCTGCCTCCTCCACCCTCTCCTTTCCTGGCCCTCCCTTTGCCCCTGCCTGTGATCCACCCCACCCCACCCAGCCCTCACCTGTCATGGGGAGCTTGCTCAGATGCAGATGTGTACTCTCGGATTGGAGTTTTCAGGCCCTCCAGGCTCTCCAACCCGTCGAAGGTCATCCTGTTTGAACACTCATCTCTCTAAACTCTGACTTAGAGCATGACTAGAATTGCTAACATTTGAGAAAATAGTAGTGATGACTAGATACAGTAAGTGTTTGTTGGACGGATTGTATGATAATCATCCAGGGATGATTAGGTGTATGCTTTCGGTATACTGCACACTATGCAATGTGTACACATGACAAATATTGGAAGTTTAAATACTTTCAAGATTCTCCAGTTTTTTAGAAAGTCGGAGGTTGAGTTTTATGGACCAATGAAGTGATTTATCTACTATTCTACAAAAAATACCGATGGGAATAAGGTGGAACCAGATCTTATGGCTCCGTTCTTTTCCTTTCTCCATTTTTTCTTTTTCTTTTTTTTTTAAACCTGACTGTGGTGTAATCTAAGAGCTGAAGTGCATCCAATTTCCTGAGTGTTTGTTGCAGAGGAGTGCTGATTTCAGATAGATGATCTGACACAGACAGGAACACAGCCAGGAATGACCCAAACATCTGTATTTTCAAGAAGCAAAACACATTTAAACACAGAGAAAGAAAATACAAATTTGGATTTAAACAGCAAAGCTCATACTTTATACATCTATACAGAAAAATTAGAGTAAACATTTGTACAGCAGCACAAAAAACTCCTGGTGGTGGATAGAGGCTAATAAATGCTACAGTGATAGGCTAATATCATTAATCTGGATTTAGGTGCGTTTCTATTTTATTCCAGTGCCAGCAGCTGCACTTCAAAGTACTTATTAGGTAACATTATATAAACACTGCAGCCACTTCCCCCTATGCCAAAACACAGGCTATCCAGTGCTGACACTATTAGCCAATGTGTAAAATGTACAACTAGTGTATCAAGCTGCATGTTTGTAATTTCATGAGTTCACACATTTTCTCAGAAGTTGGACGCTATGCCCAATGTACAGTATATTTAGTAGATACAAACCTGTATGTCACCTTGATCGGTCATCTCTGTATGCCAACTTGGGGCAGACAGGAAGTGAACCTTGAAGAGAGGCGGGGTGACCAGAGGGCTGAACTGCACAACTTATCAATTCACAGGTTGTATTTCATGGATCGAACACTGAAAAATCCATAAACAGTAGAGTCCTAAATCTTAGTTGTACACTGACAATTGAAAATACAATTTAAAAATATTAAATTCAGTTTTTTAATTTGCTATTTCCCAATTAGTAAATAGAACTGATAAGTGTTCCACTGATCATTAACATACAGTATATTATTTCAATACAAGGGTAAAATCATGTCCATACTTGGTTACAAAATTAGCTTTGAACACATTAGCATTTGGTTTTAAAATAGTGCTTTTAAAGTGAATTTGAGGCCAAACCAGTGTTAACCCTGAGTTTTGCTCTTTCTTTGTCTAACTATCTCTGAGCAAAAGAACGTGATCTCTTTAGTCTGACCGATATTGTTTTCTAATTTTTTAGCTGCCAAGAGCGCCTCCATAGCTGGCTATTTGAAATGACTGCAAATGGTTTGAAAAACACCTCATAATTTTTTGCTAGCTAGGTGGCAGGTGGGGCTGTAGTTTAGCTGTACAGTTCAGCAAAGCGCCTGTAGAATAGGAACAAAACCTCTGCAGAGTTTCATGGATGGCAGTAGCATAACTGAGATACAATACGTCCTGTTCCATTTTCACTTGATTTGTCAGGCAATATGTAAAATCTAAGTTAATGAACCTTTAAATTGATTATGGGATTTCATGGTGCAAAGAAGTCTGCTCTAAAATAAACCTGGAGTCTAAAAATGTCATGCTAAATTAATTGTTTTACTTTGTAAAGAACTGCAGCTCCATGTTTTAGGTTCAGTTAAGTTCTAAGATGTAATATGGTTATGTTTAGAAGCTGAGCTCATTTTTTTCTCAGATGGGAGGCACTTCCTGAGCTAGTCTTCCATAAAAAGGTTCCTCCATTTTTCACACCATGCTTTATCTTTCCTCTAAGCTCTTTTCTCCACCTCAGTCTTACTTTGCATTTTATTTACTTACCACCTTAAATTATTACAATGATGTTTTCCTTTTATTCAAACAAAAATGAAAAATTTTGACAACAATTAATTGCTCATCTGTCTCTTAAATTCCAAACCACAGTAGAGCAATACACAATATGTAATTAGTGCAGGAGGAACTTTGGAAATATCGGTTACTTGGTGACCAAACTGAGAATTCACAAATGAATGCGGATCATCATTCTCTAACGTCTCTCTGTCATCACATAGGGAACATCTGCCTCTTGTTTATATGGTAACCTTAGTGTCAGCCTTGGCCCTAACAAGCAGTTAAGATGAATTTTCTTTCAATACTTAACCATGTTTTCCTAACAGGTTTCTCATTTATAATTCAACAGTACTTTGAACAGTGATGAGGGAAGTTGTTGCAGTTGATGGCGGCTTGTTGCTTTTTGCTTGCTGGGGTGAAAACAGAGACCTTGTGTGACATGCCTCTTTAGTCTCTTCTGTATCTAAATCTGCTAGGGAGGCCACTGTCTCCATACTAAAAGCCTGTTAATTCAATCTGTGCATGTATTGCATCATTGTTTCCTAATTGGTTGTAAGATGAGCAGGAAAACCATTTGTAACATTATACTGTGGCAGCAATTCAACAAAATCCGGAATAATGCACGGATTGTTCCTGATTAACTGAAGGTTTTCATCTCAAAATAATATTTATCCATTTTTAAAATATGCATGAAACTTTTCTCATAAAAGACAATATTTTATTTGTTTGTTTTTGAGCAGGTTGGTGTTACATTACATTTTAAATGCAGGCATTACATGTATAGTATGACCTAAATGTTAGGTCTCAAGCCTCCTTTTTATATCTGAATCACACCATAGAACTGCTTTATAACTCCCTCACTCAGTCACAATTAGCAGAGGGTTGTGCTTGCAGAGCAGTCACCGGTGGTTGGATAAATATCCACACCTTCACGTCTCAAGCATTAGCATTACAGGCACCAGAGCTGACTGGAGCAGCAGCCCCTCCCTCTTCTAAACAGAGACCAACAGAGAGAAAATACAGTGGAAAAACAAAGCTGGAAGGTCCACATCAACCCCGGAGGATATGTTTGGTAATGGTGAAGGGAAATACAGGGTATACCAGTTGTTAGGTTCCAATACTGGAAATGGGGCATTAGTCTGTGGTACCATCAGCATGTGTAAAGATGAACCTCAAAGAGGTTGTGTGGAGAAAACTTTAATGTTAGTTGACAGTTTGCTCAATCAGAAATCTGAGCCTGCACCCTGACTGACTGTTTTACCACTCACTCAAAGTGCAGATTGGTGGTAGTTACCTGCACCAAGGGTTGGGGTTATGCTTTTGTTAGCATTTGTTTGGTGGATTGTTAACAGCATAGGTTGTTCTTAGGAAAGGTCCTAGGATAAGCCTCTGATTCAGCGATGCCCCACCAATGCCCATAAAAAGGTGCAAGACTGCAGGGCCTGGTGCACACAGGGATCTCACACATAAACACTGAGAAATCCATGAATGCTACAACAAAAATCTGTGTGCTAGCAATAAGATGTTTTCTGTGGTGACTGTATGTCAGTCAGTGAATGTGCCCACTTGCTTTTATGGTATTATAGGGAAAGCCAAAACAAGTCCTTTTGAAATTGTTGGGATACTGCAATTTGCCATTTTACAAAAGATCCAAACAGACTAGAAAAGAAAAAGAACAAAACTCTTTCAAACAGTACAAAACTTCTCTAATTTTTTACAGTCAAGTCTTACTCTGGGGGAGGGATATATCCCAGTTACTTAAATTAACTACACCAAATCAGTCTTTAATTCTGCCAACTCCTGAGACCAAACAAAACCTGTCCAGAGCCAGAAATAGATGAATTTTAACAGCAAATTCTGTTTTAATGTAAAAGAAAAAAAAAACAGTAGATTTCTTGGTCAAATGTACAAACACATTTGTCCACTAATTACTGTCTTAAACAAATAACCCAAGGCAAGAAAATTAAATATTACAAGTTAAAATTATTATTAAAAAGTGCATATAAATGTGGACTGACAAGACTATTATCATTATTATATAGTATACATATAATAATTCTAAATATAAAATACAAATCATTTTCAGATCAGCATTTGTGGAGACGTTATGTTAATCTGTTGTCTTGATCAAATCAGCATAAAGTAATAAAGTTCACAAACACTACCTGATAATAGAATTCCTAATGGCCCAAGTCAGATTTTCAATATAGAATTGGGTTGCAGTGATTTTGATTAAGGCAAAAGAAGGAAGTATTTGTAGTAACTTTGAAAAAGTGGGAGCAGACCCAGATTTGTGGCTGAATTAGAAACTTTTAGGAAACTTTACTTTTAGAAAATCTTAGAACTGACTGAATTCTTTTTAGCAGCAGTTCTTGAGTATTTACAGCAGCAAGCTGGCATATGAGGGATTGAGTTTAAAACTTCAATAATGGAGGAATGTGTCTCTCAGTACAACTGGATGGTTCATTGGTTTTTAAAGTCAATTAGATTTTTGAGGTTTTGGCCGCATAGAAAATATGTATTACTAGGATCAACTCACTGATGGCTTCAATCTTCTCATGTTTTGTATTATGTGCCGTTCGCAACTGTCAGTGAGCGAACGAGAAAGAGGCGGACCCAGGTAGCCGACTTCGATGCAAGCAGTGATTTATTATGTACAGTGATGACGAGAAATAACAAAATGCACAGAGGGAAATAGTGCGTAGTCCTGTCGATGAGTAGTAACCGGGTGTTGACCAACAGTAGGAGGTGAGGAGATGGAGAGCTGGGCCGAGCTGCGTAGGCTGGGTCACTCCTGGGCTGGTCGGTGGTGATGGTGG